CAGGGACCCCGAAGTAGCTGCTTTAGGGTTTGCTTTGGTTCATGTGACATACATGTAAGAAAGAAATACATCTGAAGAAAAACATTACCTTCTTTTTCCAACTGAAAAATCGAGCCTCAATTTTTGCCCAGTTCTCACTCTCACTGCAAAGTGAGCGGAAAAATCCTAGTCCACTAACTCCAAGGAAATGTGACATCTGCCAGGGTCTCTGACAGTAAGATCTTGCCATGACAAACCGCCAACGGTCAAGATTAAGTAGCAAGTAGGAATCTTCACCTTCTTAGCCATGCCACACTCCCACTGGAAAGGGCGAGAAGCCCTGGGCCCTGTGTCACAGGCCTCTCTGGCAGGAACCCCATCTATTCCTGCGTCCCATCCCATTATCTGCTGTTGCTCCTCATGGATTCCTAGGAATCTCCAGCCTTCAGGGTATTTGGGGACTCACTTCTAGTAATATCCTGCTTCCTCCTTATGTGTCTGGAATATATCCCGTGAACAGGAAATACACAGATCGAGAAGAGCTCTGCTCTCCTCAGGACTAGTTCAGTCAGGGTGAGGGGGCAGTGCCCAAGGCCTGCCACGCACAGCAGTTCTTAGCGCCCGCCATCCTCTAGGCTCAGGGGTGGAGTGTGGCCACAACCCAGAGCCAGCAGAGCCACTCCACGCGGAAGCAGCCACTCTGTGGTGAGCATCAGATAGAAGCCCTGCAAAGAGGAGACACGAGATGCTCCAGGCAAGTAGTGACCTGCTTGTGGTGTGAAGTCAGTCATCATCTGAAGAGAAACCAACCTGCAGTCTGGAAATCAAATCCACCCATTTCAATATGCCACCCGAACCTAATCAGCCTTTGAGTTCTAGAGAGTTCTGAAGGGAGAAACAGCCTTTTTTTAGAGAGCTGTGACTGCAGGTGTCTAGTGCCCTGAGGCCTTCCTCAGAACATGTGAAACAGATCCTCACCCCCTTGGGCTCTCTCACCCTGAAGCCACCACTCATACTTCAGACACAAACACAAACTGGCATGTTGCCTGCTGCTAAAGCCTGTTACCACAGCAGCTTAGCCTCTGAACTGTCTGAAATGAACTGAATGGCTTACTATTTTTTTAAAAAGAGGGTTTTGTCACAGAGAATGTGCACTCACTAGAGTGAGAAAGAGAGAGCAAGCAAGAAAGAGACAGAGATAGTGAGAGGGAAAGTGAGAAATCACCCCCGAGGGAGGATGGCCATGCCTCAGTCCCTTCTCCTCCTGGGATCTTGGGCACACATGTACACATGATTTTCAAGCTACTGGGTGTGGGACTCGAACTGTGGTCAGCCATGTAGGAGTCCAGCAATGTAACCACTACACCATCTGCTGGCCCCTGAAAGGCTTTTCTATGGAACTCAACACCTTTCTGTTCTAGGTCCGATATCACACCTCACAGAAGCCAGAGATGGAAAAAGCCAGTCAGTAAAATCCTGTGTTTTCAGTGGCTGCTCTGCAGGTTCTCTTGGGGGCAGTCTTTGTACAGGCACGAGCCCTCCGAGCTGCAGACCCCTGCTGACTTAGACCAGGCCCAGCTCCCCAACTGCCGAGGCACCAAGGACAAATTAAGATCACATATTTAAGGATCATCTGTCCCTGGGGCTGCTGTGCAAGTTAGAAAGTCTGTCTTTTTCTTCAAAGGGGAGCTTCCTACATTTCAAACGATCAGTTTAGAATGAGGCTGCTAAGCACATTTGATGTACCTTACAAAAACTAGCACCAAAAGATCTGAAAGGACTGCTTGCAGTTTTGGAAGGCTAATTAACAAGTATTTCTTCTCTTCACTTACTTGAATAATAAAATAAAACCCACCAGTACTGTGTTTTTTTTTTTTTCTTTTGACACAGGTTTTTGGTCATAGCCAGAAGAAGGCTTGGTAGTTTGTTATATGGTGAAATATTGGGTGGTCAGAAAAGTCAAAGACGTATTTTCTCCACGCAAAAATACATCATTACTTTTCCAACAACCCAATATATGAGACTTTAAAAAGTTTGTGGAAAAGCAGAATTAAAGTACACAGTGATTTTGATACAAAACATTTTGAAATCCAAGCGAAGTTCTTCCATAATATGCATTTCCCACGAACTTGTTTTTCTCTTTTTTTAATACCAGAGGGTGGATGTGCGTGCAAAGATGTGCAAGAGAAAGCATCCTTCAGCATGGCGGGGGTCATACTGCCATCCTTTTTCCTCCAATTATCCATCCCATCAGGATCTTGGGCCTTGAGTTTGGCATGCTTTTCAAGCTGCTGGGACTAGGAATTGAACCTGGGTTGGCCATATGGGATCCAGCTTTCTCTGCACAGTGCCTCACTGCTGCACTATGGGGCCTGGTCCTCCCATGAACTTGTAAAAGACCCTCATAATTTTCATCATGATAAACACGGAATGCCACAAACCTGTAATGAATCTTCAAGGCTCTCCCTTAGTGATTCTCTACACTGGCTGTACATCAGAATCACCAATGGCATTGGGAAATCCAAATGTATGATGCTGGTATCTGACTGGTCCTAGGCAGCTAAGCACCAGGCTGGGTGAAAGCTTCTTAGGGGGTCCAGTTGTGTCTCCAGACCTGGAAATCACTATTTTGTCTTTTACAAATGAAGAAATTGAAACTAAAGAGCCCAGTTTTAACTCTTTGGAGAGTTGAGAGCACACAGCATGTTTGCCACTGGTGTTTTCCTGGGGAGGTTCTGGTCCCTCCCACTGTGGTCACTTCAAGCTCCACAGGCAATTCATCAAGAGCATGGAACATACCCACATTCTGCTTCCTAAAAACCTGCTTGCTCGGGAAAGAGAAGAGATCACCAATTATGCAGACGAGCCAGCCCTGGCAAAGCGCTGAGCCTGAGAAAGCTCTGATCACAAACTATGCCGATGGCCAGAAGGAATTCGTGCTTTGTGTGAGTGGTCTCTCTTCACTTTCTGACTGGAACAATAACCCCGAGGGTTGCAATGACAGAACCCCTACTCCACATTCCCTTGAGGACCTCTGGTTTCTGGGTCTCTGAAATCAGTCAACTGTTGATCACTGGCTCCTTCCTCTTGGGGCTCAGAGAGCAAGGCTCCCACTTTTGTACACATATGCACGTGTTTATGCACAGACAGGCTTAGAGAGATGTTCCGGAGGTTTTCAGTGAAACAATATTTATGATGGTTATCCTACGTGCCAGGCTTTGTTTAGTATGTGGAAATAAGCTTATGATTAACAAATAACAAGCCTTCAAATAATATTAAGGTTAGAGTTACTTGCTCTGACTGTTTAGGACTGGAAATATAATTTAGTGTTAGTTTTGAATCCTGAGTGATATCTTATATTAAGCAAAGAAAAACTAAGGATTTATTTTAAGTAACACCTAGAGACTGAAAGTAGTCAAAATCTTCAACCCAGACCCTCCCAGCCCATGCTTGAGTGTGCCTTTAAAGTGTAAGCTCATTAGCAGTTGATCCCAGACTCCTATCATCCAACAGATGTCTTTAATTAAAATATCAAATTAGTAAATGTCGATTCCCAAGATCCCAAGTTAGTCAGTCATAACTAATACTTGTTTTAAGATTATTGCTTTGATCTTAGAATTAAAATAAACGGACTCATTTTTCTTTTATCAAAGAAGTAGAAAAATTACAAGAAAAATAATTCTAGAGATGTCTCTAAATTACAGAACTATGACTTAAAATCTTTGAAACAATTTCTCTACAAACAGAAGAGTTAAAAATATACTTCAGTAAAAAAAAAAAAAACCCTATATGCATTATGTGTAAACAGTATAACTATGAGGAAAATATCTTATTTTGAGGAAGTTTATTGTTACATTTTTGCCATAATAGATGAGGCACGAATACCTCCTGCTTCTCCAACATCTCAATAAAAAAAGACAATAATCAAGGATAACAGTGAAATTAAAATAGAAAATACAAAAGCCCAAGGTTCTGGAGACAAAAGTGACTACAATCTATGTGTAGGCAAGTTGTAAATGATTTCAGTTTCACCTTGCAAATAGTTGTCACCTTCAATTACAATACATCACAGAATATGAGTGGGGGCATCTTTAAAGACATTTTAATTCACCTGATCATTAGAGAGCAGAGGAGGAAGTTCAGGCTCAGCAAAGCCAAGTGATGTGACCAGGGCAGTGGGGTCAGTGGCTGAGCTGGTCTAGGACCGAGAACCGGTGTCTCAGGCTATCACGACCTGCTTTCTGTTCAGTTACACAGAAGTCATAGTATCTCATTACTCATATGCCTCTGCGTTCAAAAGTGACTAGTAAAAACATCAGACTGTTTAAAGGGAAGAAACATTCACCGACAAGGCAGACCTAAACCCTCCGGGAGTGTGTTTCAAACAATCCCATCGGTTATGCCGACCACGGTGGCGATCTCCCAAAGAACCATGTAGAGTATCTCCAAGTTGGTGGAGGAACAGTTTGCATTTCCTCTGGGCTTTGGATTCTTTACATGTATTAGATAGAGAAAGCTGGCCTAGTCAAGGAAAGCTCTTCACACTGTTTCAAACTGAGAATGTGATCTGAGACCATACTGATGAACCCTACGAGTCATCTTTTTTCCTTTAAAACAAGGCCACTGGCGCTAATCCCGGGTCACATCCTTTCAGTTTGTGAAGAGCCACAGGAAGCAGTACAAAAACAGTAACTTTTCCCCCTATACAAAAAAAAAAAAAAAAAAAAGAGTCAAAATCCCAGCAAACATTGACACAAACCCTTGAGGACCAAAGGAGAAAGAGAATTTCACGTTGTCTTCTAATTAAAATGCTGCGATAACAAGGATAAAAACAAGACACTTTCCCCCTAAAAAAAAAAAAAAAAAAAAAAAAGAGTCAAAATCCCAGCAAACATTGACACAAACCCTTGAGGACCAAAGGAGAAAGAGAATTTCACGTTGTCTTCTAATTAAAATGCTGCGATAACAAGGATGACTCAGAAGTAGGCTTTTTTTCCCCCCTCCTCCTTCTTCTGGTTCAGCATCTGCCACAACATTTGTGTTTATCTGGCTTACGGAAAACAAGCCAAGAGAGATGCAGAAGGGACACAAGGGTCAGGAACAGTGTGGCCTCCGGCCAAGGGCCCTGGGATGTGTTATTAAGCCACAGTAACATTCTGGTGCCAGTTCAGAGGAAGCTTGTTCTTTTCTTTTCAATGCTAGAAAAAGTCCCCAAATGTTCTAGACAGGCTTCCTCACAGAATAAAACACAGAAGGGACTGGTTTGGAATGCAGTGTATTTTTAAACACAGTGAAAGACACCTGGAAGGTAACCGGATGGGTTAACTGAGCTGAAGATTTACCAGCTCATGTTAACATTCACAGCCTTTTGAAGATTCACTCCAATCAGAGCTCTCTCTGGTGGTGTTTATTTGTTCTGTGTGTACAGTAATAGAAGCAGAGACCTTGGTAAGAAACAGACTTAAAGGAGAGCCGTGAACAGGGTCCGGCTGTCCTAAGGCATTGGTGTGGCAGCAGTTTGGAGAAACTCAGGTTTCTCCAGTTTGTGGGCTTCCTGAAAGGTCAGCTGTAAGAACTCTCCAAGCGGCTGTGGCACCAAAGAAAGCTTTGCTAGTCGTCTTGCCAGCTTTCAGAAAGCCCAGAAGAAGAGTATGAAACTCTCTACTGTTTCTGAGAGAAAATGCTACATGCTGTCAACCATAGTGTCAAAAAGATGACTTGCAAGTGAGACAGAAGAGTCGTCTGCAAGGCTACTTGGTATATTTATCTTTGTCATCAGGTGGAGGTGAGGGCAGGTAAGTTAAAAAAAAGCACCACTGTGCACACATAGATGGAGTGGCAATTAAGTGTCAGTGTCCTCTCCACTCCATGTGTGTTGCTGGGCAGTGTGACAGTTGGGGAGAGCCCAGCATGCTGTGGGGCGTTAAGGCAAGTCCACTCTGCAAAGCTCCCAATTCCCTCCTCTAAAGCGGGAGGGGCTTGCTAGCACAGCTTCTGGGCTTCATCTAATACTCCTGGACTAGGGCCTCCCAGGAATTGGCACTAGGGTTTTAAAAGGCAACACATTCACTTTGGGAGGTGGCGTTCAGATCCTGGGGCTGGGGCTGCAGGGCCAGGCCCGGGCACTCTGAGTTTAGCAGCATCGGCATGCATTTGATGCCACAAACTACTGTTAGGCAAAGCTTTAAGGTTAGGTTGTCTCAGTGAAGACTTGTAAGTTAGAGAGAAAAGACCAGCTAGTTTTTGTGTTTTTGTCATTAAAGAGAGAACATGTGTGAGTATACACACGTAATCCTTGATTAAATTGTGTCAGAAAAGAAATAAAGTTTCTGTAAAAAGAAAGCAAGCTGTGTTATTAGGTATTACAAATTAATACCAAAGTGATCACTTGGATTTTCAGTAGTTTCACTAGTCCCAGGAATCAGTAGCTATCATCGAAGTTTCCATGTCCTTTTGCCTAGAGCTCATCACTTGACTGGTTTTACAGCATTCTTGAGCCAGGTATTCGATGGCCTGGAGCTGAGAAACCCACTCAAGGACCACATAGGTAATACACACCAAAGAGATCTGACCAATCTTGAGGACGACAAAAATAGGGGGCTTTCTTTTTCACTGCAACATAATATCTTTTAGATTCTCTTGCAGGATTGTGTCCTTCACAGCATGAAACACAAAGCGGATGTTCTCAGTGTCTATGGCCGTGGTGAAGTGGTGGAACAGGGGCTTACTGCGATTTCGTCTCTTTCTGTCGAAACACTGGACCAAGTAGCGTTGGACGTCTTCCAGCCTGTGGGGGTCACCCTTGAAATCTGGGAAGTGCTTCTTGATGCTCACGGTCTTCACTTTCTCCACCAGGAGGTCCATCTTGTTGAGGAACAGAATGATGGAGACATTGAAGAAGAGCTTGTTATTGACTATTGTCTCAAAGATGTTCATCGACTCCACCAGTCTGTTGGTACGTCTGTCCTCCATGAGAACCTGGTCATATTCACTAGAGGAGACCATGAATAAGATTGAGGTGATTCCATCAAAGCACTGGAACCACTTTTGGCGCTGAGACCGCTGGCCACCCACATCCACCATCTTAAAAGGGATTTTTTTAATAACGAAGTCATGTTCCACAATGCCCTTGGTGGCTTTCCTAGCCAGCAGGATATCTTGCTTACTAGGAAAGTAATTCTGTAAAACATAGGATAAAGAAATTTAGGAGAAGAGAACATGAGAAAATCAGAACAACAAGACTGTAAAAAGGGTAGATGGAATGAGTTAGATTGACTTTTGTGGTAAGTTGAATCAATATCAAATGCACATTTCATTTATAAAATTATAAATTAATCATGAAATAGAAAATGAAAGATTAAATACTTCATTTCAAAATGTATGGTAATTTATCAGTCTGAGGAAGAATTATCAGAATTCTCACTATCAGGCTCCAGTATAAAATCTTAGCCATTTTCTCCTCCAGAGGCAATTTACCATCATTTTTGTTTGGGCACCATGGGTAACTGGACTTTTTTAACTTTTGGGGCACAAACATTCCAAAACATTACTATACGTTAATTTTATTTGGGTTTTGTAAGGCTTTTTAAATTTAGTTTGCAATGTATTCTATATATTATTGTTGGAAAATTTAAAAATCTTTAGTAACACACAGACAACTGTATTAACACTCAAACTACTTTGATTTTACACTATTAAAAACCCTCCAGTGCCTAGCGACACAAGCATTTCTGCCAAAGAACCTAACAGGGACATGATCATGCCTCAATCTAGAGATCAATCTCCAATAACACTGCAAGGACAGAAGAGTAAAGTCTAGAATGTAAGAAGCTCTATAGGTTAAATAATCCAATTAGCTCTCTATATAAATTGAAAGAAAGAAAAACTGAGGGAGAATCCTATAGATTAAAAGAAATTTAAATGACATAAAAAATTGTGATATATGGGCCTTATTAGGATATTGATTTGAACGGCTGAAATACAGCAATATCAATAAGATAACATTAGTGAGACAATTGGGAAGAGCCTCAAAACTTGATATTAGTTGACATTAATAAATTGCTACTAATCTTTCAGGTGTACATGGCATTCAGTTATAATTTTTAGTAAAATCTTTTAAAGATACAGTCAAAAATATTATTGAAGAGACTATAACTGGCTAGGGCTAGTCCAAGTAAGAAAAACCTAGTGCTAACTAATGTTTTGAAAGTTTGTTCACAAGATTCATGAGCTGGAAAGACTGGGCGAAAAAGTGCTATCTGGAACAAAACAACCAATCAGAACTGTACTAGTTTTAATCTTCTATTTGCATAAGAATGGGCCAATAGGAGGACATGGTCAAGGGAACTATTCTCCATAAAAGACTTTGCCTATTTATATTTTGGGGAGGCAGATCTGAGACTGAGCTGTTAACACTGTTGCCTTCTTGCTAGCTAGCCATGCTAGCCGGCATAAAACTCTTTCTTGCTTCAAGACTCTGTGGCAGGTTGATTAGGGTTTACATGCATGCAATGGACTTTTCTTGTGAGAGTAACAAAATTATAAAATGATAGCTTTATCCCTGAGGAGCGTGGACAGGGTTGATGAAACAAGATGGTCATGGGTGACAATTCTTATACCTGGGGTTTCATTGTACTATTTATTTTTGTATATGTCTGAATTTTCCATAAAGAAAAGTTAAAAAATATATATCCTTCCTTGACCAAAGAACTTCTCTGCCTCCTTTATGGTGATCTGGGTGATGGCATCCTTATAGAACAATCATGCCCCTCCAACCCTAAGACAAAATATAGATCTGAGCAAAAGCATGACATTATAGAACTATTTATGGGGGATCAGCAGGTGACATGGTAGGTAAGGCACTGGACACTTCCACATGGCCAACCACAGTTTGAGTCCCAGACCTGGTGGCTTGCTTTCTCACTTTCCCTCTCTCTCGTTCTCTGTGTCTCTCTCTGGTCAAATGAAAATAAATGAATGAATAAATAAAATTTAATTAAAAAAATCTATTTATGATAATCTGATAGAACAAAGATTTCAACAAGTGTAGCCAAGGTCTTTGTTACTTGAATTGCTTTGGTCTTAACACAACTGTTTTCCAATCCTGGATCACAGATTCTTGGGGTCAGGGGGCCTTTACTCACCAGCTGGCCAATCCGGTCTAAGTTATCCAGGAAGTACTTCACTGATTCACCCTGTCAGGAAGAAAGGAAAAATATATATGACTCAGTCTTTAGTGATGGACTGAGATTTGGCAAATAGAAGATCTTAATAGTGTAACTGAAGTATATCTTGCTTCTATGTAAACAGGAGAATGAAGTAAAAAGACTAAGAGTATACATTTATTTTAAAAATTAAAAACAATTAAAAAAATGTAGGTTCTCTAGCTCCAACCCCAAGATTCAAACTCATAATGTATTTTTCAAAGCTTTCCACTGGGTTCTGGGGCTGTGTGGGCCCTCTGACCAAACTAGTTCCTTTCTTTCCGGACTTGCAAAATGGCCGACCCTAGGCCACGTTGCTAGGGAGGGACAAGATCAGCATTAGGATTTAGATTTTAGTTTCTGTGCCCAAGCTTGCATATGACAAACATGGCACGATGCACCCTTGACATTGTCTTTAATGACAGTAAATCTTCAAGACAAGTGGCACAGGACAAACCATTTCCCAGTTTGTAGAAATACTCCATTCATTTATTTATTTACACTTATTTATTTATTTGATTTGATTTTATAGACAGGGTTTTGCTGTGTTATGATCCTCAGCCTCCCAAGTCACTAGGATTACAGGCACATTCTATTGCACCTGGTCTTTAGGGTAGACCAGAAATCAAATCCAAGGCTCCCAGGTGGTCCCAGTTTCTTAGTGCACACCACTGTGGCTGGGCTACTTCACACATTTTTATGACCTGATTTACGGTATAGGAAAAAGAATATTTAATTTGGACTCCATGGTGGGAGGAAGAAGTCTTTCTTCTGGACTGAACATCAATAGTAACTGAGATGCTTCACAGCTAGAAGTGCATTTTTAGAATCATTCATGAACTTGCTTTACAGAGTGTTGAACTGCCAAACATGGTGGCACTCACAGGATATAAGAAGAGTTGAGGAGGCATTCAAATGTTGACTAGAATAGCTGACACAGTAGAAAAACAGGCATGCAAAAGTTTATCTTAGAAAGGAGAATGTTGGACATTAGTGATATCACCTATACACAAGAGACATGGTTTCCTAAAAGAGTTCCCATTGAACCTTGCTTTGAAAGATCAGTACCAGGAAGGCTGGTCCTATTCTAACATAAGGGTTTGTGGGAAGAGTTGCCCTAGGAAAAGTTGGGTCACTTCTTACACTCTCACGTTAAGTATACATAGTGGCACAGACACACACATGAAACCTGATATTCTAATTATTCCTGATAAAGAATGACAGGAACAATGAGTACCTGATGGATTTATCTTCCTGTGTCCCAGGAAGGCCCAAAGAAAGAAATCAAAGAGCAAATCTCTGCAGCCAGCAGGTGGCATGGTAGTTAACATGGCTGGAACCCACATAGTTGACTGTGGGGTTTGAGTTCAGACCTAGCAGCCTGAAAAAACATGTTGGACATGTGGTGTGTGCCTGAAATACAAAAAAGAGGAAATGGAGGAGAAGGGATTGCAACATGACCATGTCTTGTGGGGAGCACCTTCTCTCTCTCTCTGCTTCTTCCTGGTGAATGCATGTGTCTCCTGGCAAAAATGTTTTTAAAAAGTAAATTTCTAATGAAGAACCAGTTTCTCATTATAGAATAAAAGTTTTTAAGATGATTCTAGAGAGAGTATTTTAAGGGGATAGAAACACCCACACTTCCTCCATTAGAGTACTGATTATAATTAGCAAATACAGTGCTCTTCCTCAGCATTTGGGAATGTTCTGATTTCCCGACAGTCTGCTTTCAAGAGGCTGTGGGCAGTGGCCTGGCTCTTTAGTAGGAAAAGACATCTGTGAACTCCCAGAGGAAAACCTCCCTTCCCCTAGTACCCTGAGCCCCACAACAGGACCCACTCAGCGTTCATGGCTTTCTTTCTCTCTCTCACTTTTGGAAGAGAATAAAACTTTGATGTGGAGAAAGCTCTCGTCTGGACAGTGGAGGCCATTCAAGCAGACTAAGTATTCTGGCTCGGACTCCACATCCTGCCTTCTCCCACGCTCAGACAGGAAGCAGTCGGGGAGCGAAAAGCTGCTGGAGAGGACCCCAACTCACCTGACATGACACATCCCTCCCCCAAAATGCCCTTCTCTCTCACCTCCCACCAGAACCCACTGTTGTGCCTCTAGGGGCTGGGAGGCTGCTAAGCGCTCGTTGCTGCTGGCTTTCTAAAGCATAGCAGTGGTTCCCAGCTGGGGCCTCTCTTGCCTGTTTCTAGTCAGGTGGTGGCACCAGGCACAAAGAAGGCAGAATATGCTCTCCTGTCAGGGGTTTTAGCTGGGTTGAGTCACAGCAACACAAAGGCACAGGTTGTTGCCTCTGGACGTGAGACTCGGGCACCTGTGCTTTCACCAAACAGCCAAGATGTGAAATGAAAAGTGCCTCAGAGGACACAAACAGGGTGAACTAAACACACAACAGTTAAAAAGTAAGCATAGGGATCAGCAGATGGCGGAATGGTTATGTCGTTGAACTTCCACGTAGTTGATCATGGTTCGAGTCCCAGACCTGGTGCCTTTAAACTCATGTCAGGCGTGTGTGCATGCATGCCCAAAATCCCAAGAAGAGAATGGAGGAGAAGGCATTGCAACATGGCCATCCCCATGGAGGGGGGGTGATTTCTCATTTTCTGTCTCTCTGTCTCTCCGGTGAGCACACGCACACTATAGCAAAAATCTCTCCAAATAATAATAATAATAATAAAAATAAATGAAAAAAAAAAAGTAAGGCTACTTTCCCCAGTTTAAATTTGAATGTTTCTAATGAGTTTGATATCAGGGTCATCCTAACTAAACTTTAAACATTAACAAATGTTAATATGAAAAAAGATTTTACTGTTTCTTTCTCTACCAGAATGGGGCATTTAACTTATTTCAGCAATTTTTTTCACTACTTTGAATGCACATAATTTATTTGTGATTCTTTGCCATTTTGCATGGTTGGTGGCCTCAACTGTTTCTAGAAAGGATCACATGAGAAGAGATGAGTCAAACTCATTTTCACTCTTCTGGTAAATAAACCAACGGGTCTGTGTTAAGGCTGTGACTGAACTGCGAGGTGTGGAAGGCCTGAGCCATAGAGTGCTCTAGCATGGGGCTGAAGAGAAGGAGGTAAAAAGGGAGGACAAATCAACCTTGTCCAAACCGGCAGCCAGTCAGCAAAGCCCATACTCGGCTCTCCTAATGGCGGAGCGGGCCTCAGATTTGCTATCAGAGATAAATAAGGCATCATTTGCTTTGGCACGTGGCCTACTGAATAATCTGCAATGGCTGGACTTCTCAATTCCCATAACATCAGCTCATTAAAAGATTCAGGTTTAAAATCCTGATAACGTCTTCAATATTAGGAAGACTTAGTCATTTCTTCAGAGAAACATCATGTGGCAGAAAACAAGATGTTAACATAAAACTGACTACCCAGTACCATCATAAAAGAGAACATCACCCATATGAAAGCCATCTCAGAATCCTCTCTGATGCTTGAAGTAACATGTTCTAATAAAAATAGTAAACTGCAAATGGGCTTTTTATAACTTTCCTTGGTTTGAAAAATCTGAAATATTTAAGATTAACAAGAACATGGGAGGTGGTGTGGCAGTAGCATACTGGACTCACATGGGAAAGAGCCTAGGTTTGCATCCTGGGGCCTCCCCGTACTCGTGTGTGTGTGTGTGTGTGTGTGCCTGTGAAGCAGGCCAGTTGGGACTGGGCGTTGAATATGGTTGGGAGTGCGCCCTGGTGTGCACTGTGGGAAGTGTCTGTATTTCTCTGTCTCTTCCTCTCGGAATAAACAATAAATAAACTCAGAAAAAAAAAGAACATGGATTCAATGATTAAGCAAAATAAGTTCATTAGGATGGGATTTAAAGGCCACTAAGCACACATTTGACATGAGCCTTCTTCCTGAGAATAAGTCAAGCACTTGTTCTCTCACTACCGCCAGAAGGGATAGGTCTGAGGCAGGGACTATGGGTAGGAAAAAAGGGAGTGTCTATTTCAAGAAACAGAAGCACGCTGAGTTGGGGGTTTGTGCACCTGTGCTGGGCACAGACAGGTGACTGATACAATGACAGCAGGCAAGGCCTAGGCAAACACACCAGAGCAAAGCAAACTGCCTTTCAGCAAACTGACTGCACCCTTCACCAAGTCTCTGGAAGCACCCGCCACCTAGGCCTCCAGTGGGTGAATTACACACAGTGGATTACGGCTCCTCATAGCTTCTGTCAGGCATTGTTGATCTGCCCTATGGCAGATACATCTGCACATCAGTCTCTACTTGTTAAGGAAGCTGCCCATTCATGGACATCTGCTGGCTTCACATACCTCCTTCAGCTCGTTTAGGGCAAGAAAAGAGACTCAAGTCTTTCAATACTATATAATGCCAGGACCTCAAGATCAATACACTAGGCATTGACTTTTGTTCTGACTTTCTCTCACTGACTTTTGTTTTGCCTTCCTCTCTCTTTCTCTCTCCCACCTGATCCATTCCACACATATATTGGTTCAATTCCTGGTCCTCTTTGTCAATGTCCCAAGCTGATGTGTTTGTGTAGTGGAGGGCTATGCATAAAATGGAGTCCATCTGTCTCAAGAATCACAGATGTAAGATCCCAGGGAGGAAGTACAACAGTCAGTGTGGATTAGTATAAGGTGTTAAGTGTCAAGGTAGGCAGAAAGCAAGGACCACCTAGTAAGTACAAAGTAAACACTACTTCATTCCAGCTTCTGGCTAGGTGACTTTTTCTTTTTTTTTTTTTTTTTTAATTGTCAGAGGGTGCATGCACTCACCAGAGACAGACAGAGAAGGAGAAGGCATACCTCACTAGGGCATGGTCATGCTCTGATCCCCTCTTTTCTAATTCTCCATCCTGATGGAATTTTGGGCACATAACACAAACATACACACATGCGTGGCATGTCCAGCATGTTTTTTTTAAGCTGCCAGGACTAGGATTTGAACTGCAGTTGGCCATGTAGGATCTAGCTCTCTTAACCACTAGGTTATGGTG